GAGCTGGGCCCGGGCGAGGGGCGCGGGCAGCGGGCAGCCGGCCCGGCCCTGCCTCGGCGCCCGCTGCGGTGTGGCCCTCGGGCCTGCGGGACCTGCAGGGAGATAAAACCATGGCAAATCAAACGGGACTCTCTTATAACATAGATTTATTGCAGAACAAGTGGGCTGCAAGCTCAGCGCCTCCCGCTGAGGGGTCGGGCCAGCAGGTTTGAAGTCATCAGGAGCTTTTTCTCCCCAGCGCTTGGGTGGCTTTGGCCCCCGTGCATGCCGAGAGGAGGCCTTTGGGCGCTGCTCTGGTTTTTCACCTGGGTAGGGACGAGAAGAGCAGGAATCTGAGGCAGGAGCTGGCAGTGCATTCTGTCAGACCCAGGCAGAATGGGGCTGTTTTGGAGCCAGCCATCTTACGTAGCACAGAACAGTTCCTGTCTGTTCCAGGGATGAAGCCTGGCCCCCGTGAACTTCTGCAACCTGCATGCCTGTCACCTTGTGGGTGGTGTGCCCCCCACCTCCCCTTCCCCGTGCCAGCGGGCACTCTGCACGTTCTGTTGGCTCCTGGGGAGCTGCTAGTGCTGCGCGACCCCCGTCACAGCCCCAGCCCTGCTGCAAAGGTCTCCGAGCCCTGCAAAAGCCTCTGCCGGCCCCAGCCTGCCTTGCCCCGGGAGCAGTTCTCCCCACCAACCTCATGCAGCACAGCTGCCTGCCCACGGAAATGTCCGTTTCTGCTGCTGGCTGGGCTGTGTCTGTGCACAGCTTGGCAGCCTCTTACGCTTCCTGCCCGTGAAGTTGCAGCAACTTGGAATCTCTCCTGCTACTTCAGAGATAGCAGCCAGCAAACTGATGGGGCCAGAGGCTGCAGCCGGGCAGTCACTGGCCTGCAAGCTCAGGGGAGGGAAGGCACAGCATTCAGAGAGGCCAGGGCAGCAGCGCTGAGCCCTGGGGCAGCAGGGAGAATCCACACGTGACTGCTGTGAGCCTAGGCTCCTGGGGTCCTTGGGTACCTTGTCTGCTGATGATGCTGCCCGGCTCCCAGGGAGGTGGAGACCCTCAGAACATTTCCCTTGCAGACTGTGGACAACCCCTTTCTCCAAATGTGGTAGCGCTGAGAGTGAACATGCTCGGACCAGACCCCTCCCTTCCTTTTCCTGGCTGTGCTGAACTTCAGAAGGGTCTGGGGCAGGCTCCACCCTACTCTTGCTTCTGGGTGATGGCTCTGTTCCAGGCTGTTAAAGTGATTCTTGCAAATCTGCTCTGTTGCAAACACTGTTTTCTGAAAGGTTTCTGAAAGAATGCAGCCTTTTTGGCCCA